AGAACCCGTCCAGAAGACCTACACAATTTTTTTTCTTTTTGATTTTTTACCTGGATTACTGAGATGCATCAGGACATTAAACAATTGTACCACTTTTTAAAGAGAAAAATAAGGTCATTTTGGATTTGATAGTAGTAACACAGTTCCAAAAAGTTGAGACGTAAACGACAAACATCTGTAAATGTAAGTGGCACAAATAAGAAACTGCTGGAGGAACTTTTGCAACTAATCAGGTTACTGGCAGCAGATCAGTACAAGGATTGGGTGTAAACATATTTTATAGAGGCTGAATCTCTCAGGAGTAAAGATGGGCAGAGGTACACCAGTCTGCAAAACACTTTTTAAAAATAGTGGAACAATTTCAGAATAATATCTTTTTAATTAAAATTTTCGAGGACTTTAGATATCCCATCATCAACAGTTCTTAATATCATCAATCCAAGTATGGGTGCTCCTTAGGCCCTGAGGGGCCACTGCATTAAAAACATGTCTGATTTTGTCATGGTCTTCACTGCATGAGATCAGGGACATCTTTATAAATCATTGTCTATAAACACAGTTTGCTGTGCCATCCACAAATGCTGCTTGAATCTCTTTTGTTAAAAAAAAAACGTCAAAGTGTAAGTGTGAAACTTAGAAACACTGCTATCTACTTCAGGCCAAAGCTTGTTTAAGATAGACCGAGGCAAGTGTGCAAACTGTTCTGTGATCAGATGAGTTTAAAGTAGGCTTTCCTTTTGAAAACCACAAACACCACATCCTTTGTACTAAAAAAATGTTTATGCCATCATTGCAGAATTTTAAGGAGTGAGGAAAATGTGGGTTTATCACAACTGATATGAGTTTTCAGTTATTTTGCATGTGCATATTTTAATACTGTGCAGTTTACTGTGTAACACCTTCTTTCTGAGATAATAGAAATGTTTGCAAGGTTGCAGCGTTAACAAGCAGATGACCTAATTAAAGCTCCTGAGTTTGCACGTGCATTCACTTTAACTCCGCCTACTATGAGCATTTGTTGCACTTTTTGCACGTTTTTAAGAAGAGTAGTGAGTGTGTGTAGCACCCTGCTGCTGTCATTAGAACTGTTGTCTCATAGCAAAGCTCTAGTTCAGACTTGCTGGAGAGTTTCCATGTGTCCCCACTGGTTTCCTCTGTATGCCCTGGTTCCTCCCACCCTTTACAACCATGCCCACATGTTAATAGATGTTTCTAAATTGCGAGCTTGAGGGTACATTGTTGCGTGTGAGTACTGTGGTGCAGTGGGAACTCATTGCCATGTCTCAACCAGTAGCACTTAAACTTGGCTTCAAGCTGCATCTCTCTATTTTAAAGTTCATATAAAAAAACACACAGTAGCAGGTTGTGCCACTTTGGGTGTATGATGGAGGAAAAAAAGTATTTCAGGTCTATTTTCCTGCGCTGTCATTTCCTATGTGCTTGGGTTTGCCCGTATGCCCGTTTGACCTTTCAATGTGTTGTGCTCATATTCTGGCTAAGGTTCTGTTTATGCAGTCATACAGACCCACCAACTCAGCAGAACAAAAACGAGGTTCTCCCACACTTAAAAAGTCTCAGCAGAAGTTGGATCAATGCAGAAATAAGGTCAATTTAAGGTAATGGTTTTCCACTGGTGTTGTTAAATGTCTTCAGAAATTTAAATAAAATTAACAAAAGTTACTATTTTCTTCATTCATGCTAAATAAAGGGAGCAAAAACTTCAGCTTGACTTAAAGCACTCTTCTTTTTTCCTACTGTAATTGATCCCATCTGCTTTGGCTGTGTTTTCTGAGGAATGTTGTTATCCATTTATTCACAACCTGTTTGTTATTGCTGACAAGAGCAGCAAGCGTCGTGCTGCTCAATACAAATCAGTCGAGGATAAGTTTGCTGTTTGGACGAAAAGCGAAATAGTTCTTTTTTTTTTTTAATACAGTCCCTGGATATTTACCTGGAGGTCTAAAACCGAGCTGCTTAGTGGGTAATTGCTTGTTTTCCTCCTCAAAATCATTTCCTTTGCTTCTCTTGCTTCCTTCTGTTTTTCTTCTTACTCCTTACGTGCTCATCCTGTCTTCTACTTTGACCTCCTCTGTCTGAAATTTTCCACAAGCACTCCTTCATTTCATTCTTTGACATATTATTCACTACTTTATTCGGTCAAGTTGTGTAATGTGATCCTCCTGAATAAACTAAAATCTGAATTGGATTCAAATATTTTGGGTTGAGTGGAAACTCTGAGCAGACACAAGTACATGAACCAGAATTTTAAAGCAATTTGTTTTACTTAAACACGGTAAATGCAATATCTTTCAGCAGTTTTTGAAAACGTTGAGTTAGTAGAAGTGTGTGAGATAAATGAATTGGTGTATATGTGGAAAAAGTACATTTCTTGCCAAACACTGATTTTGTTAACCCCACCCTCCAGGTAAGTGGACATGCCGACAAGCGATGGTTCCAGCCGCTTTCCCGTGTTTGTGGCTCCGCCTCATGGCACCCATACCAGGTGTCCCGGTTACGTTCCCGGACGGGTGGCTCCTGTCCGCTCACCTCCACCTGCCAAAGCTCCACCACCTCCACCGTTCAAACCGCATGGCCCACCGCAGCAGCAACACCCTAGGCTCAGCCTGTCTGAAGGAAATCACCGCAGGGGACTTGCTCAGAGTGACCAGCGACGGAAGAACACCCTAATCTGCTGTGGCGTGTCACTGGGTGCATTCTTATTTACACTCATACTTGTCCTCAGTCTTAAAAGTGGAAATGTGTTGGATGGTAAGTGTTCTAGACTGAAATGTTTGCATATAATTCTGTGTAACCGTTGGGTTGCCTAACATGTTATTGATGGATCTTGTTCACAGAGAATTGTCCAGACCACAACCCATCTTTAAGTAGCTGGAACCCAGGCCTCCAACCAGATAAAGTTGTTATTGTCCGGAGTTTGTTTAGACTGGAGTCCTCTGCCACCTTTCTTTCACTTACCATCCAGTCAGGAGGTAAGAATATTAAGATGCAGTAGTTATCTGGGCCAAATCTCATTTCACTGCTTCCTGTTGCTGAGTGTGTTTTACATTCATGCCAGGTGGAAAGTGTCCCAGTATTTTTCTGTCATATGGGCTAAAAAAGAGGGCTTTTTAATCTTTAAAGGACTTTTTTTTAAATTCTTTTTTAATCTTTTTGGTGCACGCTTGCTGTACTTAAAAAAAAGAATTACAAATTTAAGCTTATACACCTTTTTAAACATTTTTACTGGCACAAAACATATTTTAATGTTTAGTTTAGTTTATTCAGATGTTTTATGTTTGGTATTATTATTATTATTATTATTATTATTAATAACATCCTTAAGCATGAAAGAGAAAAGCAAAAATTGCATTTCATTTATTCATTAATTTTTATGCCTCAACAACCACTGTAATATCTGGTTTGATACGTTCTCATGTATTACAGTTTGAATGTACATGAATTTTACATTCGTGTACAGGCAAGTGCCATGCTACTCTTTGACTTCAGTTAAAAAAGTAGAAAATAACTAGATAATGTGTATAACTACTGTAATAACTATAATGTTGTCAATTTAAACTTAAAACATAATGTCTAATAGTATTCAGCCATGTCAGTTTGTAAACCTTTTAACACAAGCCCTTTTTGTTTTCTTCTGATTTTTATTGTTTTTTTTTTTTCTATCTTTTTGCAGGTCAGGTGGTTTTTGCAGACAATGTTGACGGTTCTAAGAATATAACCTTAAGAACCCATCACATCCTCATAGAAGATGGCGGAGCCCTTCATATTGGGTCGCCCAAATGCCGCTACCGTTCTCGTGCGACCATTGTCCTTCTTGGCCGTTCAGACAGCAAGGCCGTCCCTGATGTTCCGGGCCTGGGCCGCAAATTTATTGGCGTTATGGGTGGCGGGACTCTAGAGCTGCACGGTACTGAGAGGGTTTCCTGGTCACTGCTGACCCGAAACATCCCGGCATCTGGGCTTTCCACGGGGGGTTATGCCTTTCAGAAGAACTTCAGCCGAGGCATCAACCTGCGGGTGTTTGACCAAGACACGTCTGCTTTGCTCTTCGACAGACGTTACGACACACACGACTCCCGTAACGACAGTCTGTGGCTCACCCAGCTCCTCTATTCCCTGCCACCGGGTCGTATAGTCGCGCTGGCTGTAGGAGACTCAGCTGTCAAAAGCTTGTTAGATGAAACCAAGAAAGCCTTTAAGGAGATACTTGGCAGCAGATTTTCTTATGATCTAAAATACAGGTAAGAATACTACTTTTTCAAAGTAGGGGCTGCTAGTGGGGCCCTGAAAGCTGGAGGAAGGATAAAAAAAACAATTAAAAAAAGTTTTAAATCGTCATATTATATTATCAAATCTGTTTTTACAATATATTGAAATGTTATTCAAGAAAGCTTTGATTTTTTGTGTTATTGTCAGCAGTTTGTAAAAAAATATTTCAGTAGGAATATAATGCAGTGTTTTAAACCTGTTGGTTAATCAAATTATTATACTAACCAAATGTAATTGGTAACGCTATATTTTACGATACCCTTATTACCAAGTAATTACAAGGTAATAAAATTAAGGTAATTACTACATTATTACTATGTAATTAGGTGGTAATTAGGGTACAAAAGGAAAAACTACTGTTAGTAAAACTACCTTAATTGGGTAACTACAATAAAATTACTATTCAATAGTAACTCAACACTATATTTATAACCAAAAGAATGCAACTAAATTTTGGGGTTAGTGGTTAATTGCAATAAAATATAACTTTAAAACTGTCCACATAACCTACTATTTATTTAGGTGTTACATAGTGAATTGTAATACATTACCAGGTAAGTGCTACATTACTGCAGACAATAAATTACAAAGTAAAATTGTACCCTAATTACCACGTAATTACATGGTAATAAGGTAGTAATTACATTTTTATTACCTTGTAATTACATGGTAATAAGGGTACCATAAAAGAAAGCATCACCATGTAATTATTATTGAATGGTGACTAAAAGTTAAAAAACACATTTTAAAAGTTTGTTTTTTGCAGCGTAATTTGTAGTAGTTTTTGGGTTTGCAAAGGGGGTCCCCTGCCAGAAGCTAAAATGATTGGGGGGGCATTGCATGGAAACGTTTGTGAACTCCTGTACAAGAACACGAGGGCTAGTTCTTGTTTGGATTCTTTCCATAAGAGGTGTGTTAACTGTTAAATGCATGTAAATATGTAAGCATGTTTGAAGTATCATCTGCATAAACGATGTACCAGCTCGTATTGCTCCTGTATTTGTGTTTGGTGGAAGTGTCTTGGAGTGTTCCTTTGTCTCCTGGGGCTGATAAGGAAGGTTAATGGGTTTCTCTCTGACAGTTAAAGAAAACAGCCCCACCTTTGAAGCCTTGGTACTTCGACAAAGAGTAACATTTTGTTTCCGTGCCCATCTTCCGTGGAAAAATTTGGTATTTTTTTGTAGGTTGTTTCATTTGGCAGGTTCCCTTTAATCTAGTCGCTTGTCTTCCTGTTTCCCATGTATTTTTGCTGTATTGCACTTCAGCAGAACAAGGAAGCACGTACAGGATAACAAGGCCAAGGTCAAACTTTAAAGGATTTGTACAAAATCTGGCAATTCAGTAGATTTTATGTCTCATGTTTTTTTTTTTTTAAATCTGGAAAGAACAGATACAGAAGTTTATACAGACTGTAGCCCTAAATCAAACAAAATAAGACAAGGAGGTTTTAAATTTCACTTTACAATAGATTTTCTGTTTCTGCAAATCGGACACAAAATGTACAAGATCAGCATTTTCAATAGTGTTCTCTGCAGCTGGACATGTTTAAGTCCGACTGAAGCCTAGTTATATTTCAGCTCTTCCAGTGTCCCGTTTCATCTCTGGGTGGATGCCAAAGCAGTGTAGGGGTTTTTCAACCTCTGTGTACAGTCAGTGGTGCTTCTGAGACATTTAATCTTAAACTTGTATTTACTTGATGGTGGTAGTTCTTATTAATTTATGTTGCTGATTAAAGCTAAGTGATACAGTCTGAGGGTTAAGTAGTAAAGACGCCTGTTTAGGGCTGCACGATATTAGGAAATTGAGTGATTTGCGATAACAGCGCTTAATATAGCGATGAAGATACGACTTGAATAAACAAATACATAAGTATGTAGTGTTGAAGTCTTTCTGCTCTATTTTCAGAGCAAAAAAATAAAAATTCCATTCCATCTTAATTTTTTTAAAAATATGAAGAGATCCATCCATTTGACCAAATACATGAAGGGCTCCGTTTGATTGATGAAATAATTCAAACTGCTGTCTGAGCAACAAAATTTATAAATGCAACTTTAAGCCAACCATTTATTGCATTTTTTTGCAGTCTTTTGAGAAATGCCTATTGCACTGGCTGTTATCGCAATGACAAATTTTCTATTGTGCAACCTGTTGGCTTAAGCATAATGATGAAGTGTGCTGCTTTTTTTTTTTGTTCATCATTTTACCTTTGTATGTGTACTTTTAACTCCTTGCACATGTAATGACATCTAACAAACTGTAGTTAATATACCCAACTATTCATTGTGAAAGAGTAGATGTTTTAAATCCATTGACTTGCACTGTGTTTTGTTTTTTAATGGAAAAATAACATGCAAACAGTTTCCCCAAACACATTTAATATGTCAAAGGCTAGTTTCTGTGACGTCAACATTCCTTCCTGGTACAAATGAATCCTGCATATGCTCCGCTGACCTGTCTTTAATATTTGTCGCAGTAGCACGCATTCACTTGTGTAAACATGCATTTCTGCTGATCTGTAGGGAAATCACCTCTGGCTTCCTCACAGTTGTTTTTCTAGTCAGACAATGAAGCTGTTACAAAATGATCCAAACATGGATGAAGATGGGTCTGAAATGATAAACAGGGTGGATCTTGTTTATTCGTTAGCACCTCTGTTGTGTAGTACAGAGCCTTTCATGGACATGAACACTTGTATAAATTGTTTTCTTGCCAAGCTTGATCATTTTGAGCAAAGACAAATGGCACTTATTTTGGATGTAGCTTTTCCCGTACATTCAAATCCAGCTCTGCTGAACAGAACTGAAACGATTAACGTCAGCGTTAAATTCAAGATTAACAAAGATTTAACAGATTTAAAACAATTAGAAACACATAACCTTTACTGCTTTCTGTGCATTTCTATTCTGAATGAACCACTAAACCAGGTTTAACTTGTAATTTGGTGTATGTACAGTTGGAATAGGTTTATGTTAAGTGCTCCAAGTTTGTGCCTTGAAATAAAACAGTGGTCTTAAAATATTATCCACTTGAGGAATAATCATGTTTGTTTAGACTTTTTTTTATCTTGTAGTGATCAGTATAGAAGCAAAAAGTAATTTTTTAGGAAGCAAAGATAATGTAATTCGAAACATACAAACTGTTATAACTCATGACACCGCCTTGATTTAGATCGTTCGCCCTTGGAGGTCCGCCCAGTCCCAGTCCTGCGTCATTCATAAAATTTGTTAGCTAAAATGATTTAATCTTCTACTTGTATTCACTGTAATACATTGAAAAAAATATTTCCTGCTGTTTTCCCCCCATTTGATTAAAGAGGAAGGAAATAAATTAAACAATTTATGGTGTTAATTTTTTCTTCTGAGTGATATTACCCACTTCCCTAAAATCTTATATTATAATTTGATTAATTCCCTGACTTCTCGGAGACTGTAGTTTTTAGTACTTTTTTAATTATCTAATAGTTGTTGCATGTTGAAACTCATTGGTTATGTTCAACAGAAACATAGCACTTGACAAATGATTGCAGGTTTATAGTTTAAAACATGCGTCTTAGTATTCTAACAATATTAAGCTCTTAAAATAATACACTATGGAAATCTAAGTGTCACAGCTTTAAGTATTTGTTTTTATGTGGAAGTACGACTCTTCCAACTACTTACATTTGTTTACTTTTTTCCCTCCTTTTCTTATTTCATTCCTTTGGTTTCTTCAGGCAAGCATGGGCTTTGGTGTCTGTGGTGAAAGGTGGTAACACGTCATGCTCAGAGGATGTGAGGGAGCATGAAAACCTCAACACAGGAGGAAGAGCTCTAGCGAGGTGTAACTTCACCACCGTAGATGGAGTGGACTTCTCTGTCACTGCTTACAGCGAGTGGAAGAACGGTAAGAGCCAGCTGATGATGAGGATAAGAGTTCAAAAACAAGAACTACTTAGTATAAAAGTATAGCAATGAAAGTAGTTTATTCTGTATTGTACAACTTATTTTTGTTTTAGAAGCCAAAGCATGTAGAACAAAAGCTGAAACAAGCAAAACAAAAGGAAAAATCAGCAGAACGGATATGAAAGCCAGCTTAACAGAAACAGAACCAGCTAATCAGAAGTTACAGTTAGGTTCACATCTATTTGGACACTGACACAAATTTTTTTTTATCTTTTTACTGAAACATTCAAATTATAGTTATATAATGCACATGGACACAAACTCATTTGAGGGTATCCACATTAAAATTGGAGGAATAGTTTAGGAGTTAAGCTCCTTAACATGTGTTCACCCTGCTTTTTAGAGGAACCAAAAGTAATTGGACAATTGGCTCAAAGCCTATTTCATGGGCAGGTGTGGGCAGTTCCTTTATGTTGTTCTCAATTAAGGCCTGCATCACACAGCAAGATTTTAAAACAGTCGGATGATTTTCAAAGACTCAGAGACCTCACATGTCTGGATAAAAAAATCATGGACATACCAGGTTTGGTCCAACAGTGTGGGGTGTACAGACATACGGCAAGAGACAACACAACACACACGGACAGATATTTAATTTCTGAACATTCAGATGTCAAGAGAAAATTTTGCGTGACCTCCAGAGAGACGTGAGTTCTGAGTAAATAAACATTTGAGACGAAAAAGAAACAATGTTGATCGTTCGTGGACTATTTTAAACACACGAAAAACAATTCAAAATGGCTTTTAACATCCATCGCATTTTCTGGTAAGTCATGACAATTTTTTTGTCTTCTGTATTTTGGATTCCCCTCCGTGTTTACATCATCTCGCTTTCCGATTGGCTTCACGTCTCATTCAACAGGCTGAGAGCTTGTTTGTTCTCGGGTGAACACCACACGCTGTGATACTGAGCCAAAAAATCAAACGTTGAATATCCCCGATTTGAGATTGGAGCGGTCCAGACAACCTTCCGAGCCGACTAGATCAGTCTTAACTCATTACACACCGCAGGATTATCTGCTCAGATTATCTTTAGAGCTGTCGCGATAATCTGTACTTCCTTACGATTGTCAGAAGAGCAAAAATTGGCATGATTATCAAGAGTTGGGTGATAAATCGATTTTTATCGATGAATTTGCCATTTATAAAGATTTAATTTTGGGAATACTGAGATTTTTTTTCCCACCAGTTCACTCTTTGGGGCTTCTGTAGTTCAGAGGTCACCCCACCTGTCCCTCAAGACGCTTGGTACATGACAATATGGCAGCTAGCAGAGAGGATCTACATCTCAAAAAAGGCACTGTTTCTCCAGTTACCTGGAACTGGTTAGGTTTTGCAACCTCGGACTTGGAACAATGAATACCTCACTGCAAAATCTGTTTGAAGGCTCTTGCTACAAAAAGCAGGAGTACAACAAATTTGTTTTGACACCTGAAACAGAGGCACTCCATGAAGTGGGAAGCAAAATTGATTAAAATCGAATTTGGGATGAAAAAAATCGGAGATTTTTTTTGTTTTTGTTTTTTTTTTCTTTGGCCATATCGCCCAGCCCTATGATTATCTTGCCGTTTGACCCAGACCTAAGCAGTTAAAAAGCCTTGAGTTGATTTGAGGTGTGGTTCTATCATTTGGAAGATTTTGCTGTGAAGAACACATGCATGCGAAGGAGCTCTCCACGCAGATGATACAAGCCGTCCTTAAGCTGCAAACAACAGAAAAAAAAACATCTGGGAAATTTCTACAATATTTGGAGTGGCAAAATCTACAGTTTGGTACATCCTGAGAAAGAAAGAAAGACCTGGTGATCTTATCAATACAATCATTTATCATTATCATTTACTCCTTAAAATAGTGACTGTAAACTCCACTTTTATTTTGGCTGTCTAATTTTAATCGAATATTGTGCCACGCCCTATAGGCTATCCCATCATGGGCTTCCAGGTGGATTCTACAGACCAGGTGGTGCTAAACTTGCAGGATGAGGTGCAGCAGACATGGAAACCAGGTGATAATGTTGTAGTTGCCAGTACTGACTACTCCATGCACCAGGCTGAAGAGTTTACTCTGCTGCCCTGCCCTGACTGTAGCAGCAAACAAGTCAGGATACAAGGTGAGACGAAGAGCAGCTCTTTCTGTGCAATTGATTTCTGCAACAGTAAACCGAATGTGACTTTACGTATGGTAGCTTTTGGCCTCTGGGAGTCTGCTTCTTCCATTTAGCTTGAATCATAAACAACAGAACAGGAGAAGTGGTTACAAATCAATCATGACAACATTTGGTGTGAAGATGTGAGGAATTTTGTGCAAACAAAACAAGGAAGTTAAGACAGTCAACACTTCACGTCAAGTCAATAAGTGTGATTTACAGATGTTATTCTAATAATCATCAGGTCCAGTGAGATCTCATTTCCTTTACAGCTGTTGTGCTGATGTAAGATTTCAAGGGATTTTATTAGCTTGAGTTTCATAAGTAACTTGGTTTTAAATTAACTGCAGATTTTCTCTGGCTCCCTCAGAAATCCTTTCTATCAGACATGCATCTAATCACATTTCTTTGTGGTCAACAAACACCCACTCCCTTCCTGGAGAGCAGGGCGTAGTTTGCTGTGCTCAGTTTTATGTTGCTGCCTTGAGGAAAGGCTGAGCAATTGTGCATTTGTTAAATATGACCAGTACCAGCTGCACCCTTTAGGCAAAGTCCGGTTCTGCACTGTTGAAGATCTGCTTGTTGTTTGTTTTTCTGTTTGGATCGCTCGCACATTGCACCTTTTTGCTTTGTTTGTTTGATTGATGGGGTTTTATTCTCTCCTCCTTGTTTTTATATTTTATTATAATAATAATTTATTTTTTGTGTGTGTGGGGGGGGGGTCCAATATTAATGCCGCTCCTGCTGCAACCTGTTCTATATTAATGCATATTTATCTAAACATTTGTACCAAACCAGAATGTTATAAATGTGGTGTCGTATTGTAGTTTTTAGTAAAAACTTAGTTTTAGATTCAACCAAGAATCTGCCCGTTCTGTGCTTTTTAGGGAAGCCTCGATATAACCATGTTGGAGAAATCATTGATGGAGTCGACATGCGTGCTGAAGTGGCTCTGCTCTCTAGAAACATTCTCATTTATGGAGAAATGGAAAACTCCTGCTATGGGGACAACAAGTGCCAGTTCTTTAACCATGACACCTTTGGAGGCCACATCAAGGTGTGTATGCGTGTAATTTTTATTGCACAGTCTGTTGTTTTGGCTGAATTTCTAGTTATTTCACAATGACTTTGTTTTCTTATGGAAAGTCCCTGTCTGTTGCAATCTGTCCTACTCTTTCCATTCTAAGAAGGTAAACTGTCCATAAAAATTAACTTGTCATTCATCCATACTTCACACACATTTACCGGTATGTTCAGTTGATTCACCTTATTTTTTTATATCTTTCCAGTCCGTATCAAGCATTAATTTAAATAAAAAACTGTAAATTTGAACAAACAAGAAAAGCTGAGGAAGGCTCTCATACATTCATAACTTCCTGACCCACATGGCTCTGATTTGGTAAAAGTACATATGAACCATTCATGAAACTGTTCAAGCATTCCTCAGAATTTACAATTTCCTCCTTTGGTTATACAAATGTATTTTTTGTATTAACTGTAATGTTTTCAGTAAAAAGCACTCCAATAGCTAACAAAATATATTTCTCTTGAGTCATACAGTTTATTTCTCACATTGTGGCACAGTTTAGATTGAGGTTTTTTGCACTTCTTATGAACCATTGCATACAAATGTGTGACTTTACCCTTGCTTGAGGCATCAGTAGCAGTGTAAATAGTTTTTATGTGTGTTTGTGTAAGTCACAGAGAGAGTGTGAGGAAGCTGGTGAGTTAAGAACTGTTCATATTTGAGTGAGTTTTAGTTTGCTGAAACGATTGGCCAATTCCTCCGTAACAGAAACCAGACCAATGTGGATTATTCTCTACCCACAAAAGACCTCCGACAGAGCCGTGTATGATGTGTTTGCACTGGATGACTTCACTGACATTCAGATTTGTCTGTCTGTTGGGTTTATCAATAGATGTGCTTTGTTTTGATTTATGCTCTTACAGCTGACATCACTTTTTTTATTACCAGTTGTGGTTTTGGAAGACTTTGACTCAGTGCTTCATGTTGACAGTGGCAGTATATCTTGTTACAGTTGAATTGTATAAAATGAAGGAAAAAAAGGCATAACCTATTTAATTAATCCTCTATCTGTCAGCTGACAAGTCATTTGGGTTTCCCATCATGTAACATGTGGAGCTGTTGGTTTGTAATGCTATAATTCGTGTTGCGTAAATCATTCTGAAATCCCGTCTGTGCTCACTTTTCTGCCAACTCAGATCTTGGCTAACTTCTCGTCGGTGCATCTGTCTCACGTGGAGCTGAAGAACATGGGTCAGCAGCGAGAGAAAGGCCGGTACCCAGTCCACTTTCACTTGTGTGGAGACGTCGACCAGAGGGGAGGCTACAGCGAGCCCACCTATGTGGATGGACTCTCCATACATCACTCTTTCTCCCGCTGTCTCACTGTTCACGCCACTAATGGCCTGCTGGTCAGTGAAATGGTTGCTTATGTAAGAATGTTTGTGTGGAAGAATGTTTATAAAACAGTTATGGATGAGTGACTCTCATCCATTTTCCACAAGATGAGTGGAACAGCTTAGCACAGGACTTTCCTGACTTTGTGGAGGAAATAATCAGAAATATTTGGATGGTATCTATTTTTCCTATTTATTATAACATTAAAGAAGCTTTCTCTTTAACATTATTTTTAATATGGTTTGATGTAGTTTTAAAAAATTGAAGGCACTTGGAAATGTACCTTTTTTCCACTTTGGGATGTTTAAAGGGAATGAACAGATGTTTCTCTAGTCTTGTATCAAGATGGTTTGCATATTTTGAGTAAAAGCTATATTTTCTTTGGAAAGGAAATTTTGAGAGAATGAAGTTATAATGAGACCCTGACCTATTTATCCCCAACTCTCCCCGCCCCCGCTGAGAGCTCCTCTATAGTCTTGTAAGGCTCTTAATAAATCTGTGTGTTGTGTGTGCTGCTTTGTCCTGACCCAGGTGAAGGACACAGTTGGTTATGACACACTGGGCCACTGTTTTTTCCTCGAGGATGGGATTGAGCAGCGGAACACTTTCTACCACAACCTCGGCCTGTTGACTCAGCCCGGGTCTCTGCTGCCGACTGACCGCAATGAGACTCTGTGCACCAGCATCAGGGACAACGTCTACAAGGGCTATACTCCTTCACCGAGCACTGAGTGCAAGTAAGAGTTATTATCTCTGGATGCTCTTAGAGAAATATGCACAAAGAAAACTGAAACACAAGTTTCTGCTTTATCATCAAGCAGATTTATACTGGAGAGAAAATATGTTATTTATAAATGATCAACTATTTTAAAATGTGGAAATGAAATCTGACATTCGTGGGGGTGGAATATGGTTTGTAACTTCTCACAAGTTATATATATCAACAAGGCAGAAGAGGCTGTCTCTAAGAATCCATGAATCCACTTTTAATCAGTTTTATTTAGGAATGTCCCGATCCAGATTTATTGGCTCCTGATGCAGTCAGATTATTTAAGTGATTAATCTTGCCAATGCCAATCCAATACCTATATTTTTAAAGCATTGAAAAATGCAACCAGTATTACTTAACAATTTATATTTTGCTTTATAACATGACCACCATTATTGCTTGGCTTTTCTAACAAACCTACTCTTGAGTCTGAGACGTAAAAATAAAAATCCTACAGATTAGGAAGAAAAAAAATCGTAGCTATGTGTTCAACATTCAGTATAAAAATTTAATAATGTTTTGAAAAATATTAAAGGTAGGGACAAAGAACAAAACACAATCTTGTTCATTATCCAAAATGTGATTTTCTGTGCAAAAATTAAGTTCACAGCTTTAATTTCACTGACTGTGTCCAAACTAATGTGATCATTGCCCTTTTTCTTCACTAAAATATTAGTGTAAACAAAATAAAATATCACTGTAAAAGCAAGCTCCAAAACAAATAAGTCCGTAAACTAAATCAGTAGCTACCTGTTTTATGGCTCCATCTTCAACTCTGCAGTCTGAACGTGATACGGAGATTCTTTTTTTAAAGAACCTTTTAGCATGCTGAGCTATCGTGTTTCTCAATGATAACTGATGCTGGGCTAAAGAACCTCATTCTCTGGACCGCTGTGCAGGGAGCTAGCTGTGTCTCTGTGAAGAACTTAGTTGCTGTTGTTTCCAGGGCGGGGAGTCAAACCTGGATGGCTCTCCAGTAATAAACTCCCCTGGTTCTGTGCCACCACGGAACACTTGTTCACGACAAGTTTTGCACTCAGCTGCAACGTCTTTTTCAGACTTTTACGAAAAGTACCTCCACACTGCCGCCATCTCTCCTACTCCTTGCTACTTGGTTAGCACAGCGTGTTGTAGTGATGGTGTCAGCTTTGCATGCTGGATCCAAGCTGGAGTGGACATTGGAATGGAGTGCTTGTGTTGGAGCGCTAATGTCAGATTTTAGAAGCAGGCTGATATAATTCGATACTCGTTTTTTTGGCTGATATCTGATATCAATAACAGATCGGAACACCCATAGTTTTATAATCTGTTTAAGGACTGTTGAGGTTATTGTTATATTTTTAGGTGGGGAACAAGCTTTGACCCCTTTAAAAATGCTAATTAGTGTAAGAGAGTAAAATTTAGACTTTCATATCTGTGAGCAACTCTAAGGAGGTGCGGACATAATTTGTAAAAAACAAAACGAAACAAAAAACAGATGTTTTATATCTATGTGAGAAGAGATACAGCACTCTGTAATTTTGGTTGAGAGCGATACAAGCAGGATGGTTTTATCAATACAAAAACAACCTTTCCTCTCTGTGATGTGTTTATAATCCTAGAATAACAAGAAAAAAAGCCTTTTTGTGGAAAGAGGTTTATCTTCAGGAATTTGTGCGTGTGGTTTGAGTTTTGGCTGAACCGTCCTGTTCATAGTTGATGTTGGGGAGTAGATTATTGAGTGAGTTGAAGAAGACTGCAAGATTTTTTATTTATTTTTGTCTTTTTGCCACAAAAGCTGATACGTCATTTTCATTCATTTATATATTTAAAATGCACATTAATCAATATTCTATGAATATAAATGTGCCGGATTCAGCACAACAGCTACATTTTTTATAATTTTGTACATATTGTCTCTTTTTTTATTTTGCTACATTACTCTGTAAATGTTTGTATAATTGTGTCTATGTGTGCATGCTGGTTCGGTGCTTTCCAGGGCAGTCTCAACATTCTGGATCGCCAACCCCAACAACAACCTCATCAGCAACGCAGCTGCTGGTTCTCAGGTAACTGCGTCTTTGATGTAAGAAGGCAGCTTTAGAAGAGATTATTAGAAATAATAATAATAAAAAAGGCAAACAAGTTAAAATGGGTAAAGAAAATTTGTTGGTAAAATTGAAGTCCTCGGCCCCTGATAGATTAATGAACTGTTTTGTATAAATGAAGACAATCCTCTGGCTTTAGTCTTAACTTTATACAAAAAAATATAAAAAATATTGTTGGTCATAACAAAGTGATCTATCAATAAAATGGGAATTAAATGTTTCTGTGTTTAAAAGAGAAGTGCAATAACAATGTGAGGCTTTTAATAAATGAAAGTATAAAAGAAAATCTCTTGTTTTTGTTTTGGAGCTCCAGTAGCTCTCACTTAAGCATAAAAAATAACGGCTTGGGGGTTGAGGGATTTTAACTTGAATCCTCTAATCTGGTTTATTATTGCTCTGGGACATAAAGAATTGTATGACATCATGCTCTGCTTCTTGTATCCTATTGTTTCTGTATTTTTTCTAATACTATCTATGGAATGAGTGTACATTTAGTAAGTAAAGATAGTGAAATTCCTGCAGTTGTGCAGCTGCAGTAACATGTTCTTTATGACTCGTTTCTCTTTTTTCCCTTCTTTTTCCAGGATGCTGGTATATGGTTTGTGTTTCACAACTCTTCCACTGGAGACTCTCACGGGCTGGTACCAGAGACCAAGGCAGAGCTCACTCCTCTTGGAATTTTTTACAACAACCGTGTGCACTCCAACTTTAAGGTAATCACTGGTGTTACATTCCTAACCAGCATTAAATACTACATGAAGTCCAGTGTTGAAGAAGAGTTAGAAAAAAAAAATTAAATCTCTGCATGCCTTCGTAATTCTTACCAAAAATATGCATGGAAACACACGCATGGATTCACACAGGCGTGCGAGCTGGGCTCCACAATGGTGCTCTGTTGTGTGATGACAGAAACCGGGCAGGTGAACTGTGAGCTCTTTATCCAGTCTGACCACAGCAGCCTCTAATAGAGGAAGGAGCCCTGCGGTCAAAAACTAAACCTCACTTATGCTAGCTCACAGCACGGGGTTTCCATACACACTAAACATTCAGTGACATGTTACGTTTGTCACAGGATGTTGTTTGTTTTCATCAGTGCTTCAGGCACCACACTATAAAAGAAAACATGCTGTCTTATTCGTGTCCGTTCTTGTAGAACCCCTTCATGTGTTGCTGCAGAAAAAAACTTGATTATTGGAATCTTACTTTAATTCTTTTAGGCAGGGCTGTTCATTGATAAAGCAGTGAAGACAACCACTGCCAGCGCTGCTGATCCACGGGAGTACCTCTGTCTAGAAAACAGCGCCAGGTGTGTATGAGTAAATGTCCATGTCTCGGTAGTAAATCACTTTATTTCCAGTAGTCTGTATATATTTACACATATAACTTATAGCTGGGCACTTTTAAATGGTTTGTGGTTTGTTATCACATTTGTCTTGATGCATGATTACACTGTGTAAATATTTAGGTATTGGTGGTTTACTAATATTTATTTAATGTCACAGTTAATAAACGTTCATGAATAAATTTGTTGCATTTATGTGCTGGGAACAATAGCTGCACGGCTTCGTAGCGCGTCGCTGCATTTCGGAGGACCGTCCGTCAACTCTGTGTTGACAGAGAAAACACAGCTTCACAGATAAAGTTTCCACTCTGCAAGTTCCTGCACAAACACAGCCCACAGCTAGATGGGAAAAATATTCAGCGTCCACTGAGACTGCTGGCCACGCACACACATACACATTTGTGAGGGCAGAAATATAAGCGGAAAATTTCTGAACATGAAAATGCTATTGTTTGCCAGAGGGGAGCATTAATGTAGTAAAATAACTCAAATCAGAAGATAATAGATGATAGCGGTTTCTCAAAGAATGACTGTGGTTTAGTGGTTTTAAGATTCAGGTCAGATTTTTCCCCTGAGAGAAATGTAGGTCCTCTTGGTTTATTTTTAAAACTTAGAGGCAGAAGTGTCAATTTATGCTTAAATAAAGAAAATACCAGCCTGTAGATGGTTACAAGCTTCAAATAATGGGGGCTTTCAAGTCATGATATTTTTAATTAAACTAATAAAAACAATTTTCAGCTAACTAATACAATCGTAATCTTCATCTTGTTTTTTTTTTTTTAAGATTTCGACCTCATCAAAACTCCGACCCCGCTCGTCCCCGTGTGGCAGCAGTCATCGACACTCTCATCTCCTTCAAGAACAATGACTTAGGAGCGTGGATTCGAGGTGGAGACATCATCATCCAGAACTCTGGGTGAGGCTCAACAATCTGTTCCAAGCCTGCGACGTCTACAAAAAAACTATCAGTCGGATTTATTTTCTTTTATTGTTGCTGCTGAAAGGATGACGTTTGCTGGAAATATAATGTAAAAAGTGATGCAATAATGGTGCCATCTGTTTTTGCTTCATTTTCCCAAACATTTGCATCAGTTTTATATTTCAGTCCAATTTGTTTCACATTGCAATGATCATTGTAGGAAGACAGATTTACACGTTGTGATTTGTGGGTTTATAATTGAATTGGAAAAAGTGTTCTGTGTTTTGTGTGATTTATTCAGACATTTTAGGCCTTTTTTGTTTTTTTTTTCAAATGCTGGAACAAAAGTAAAATATACCCTCAAATTGAAAGTATTTCAGGTTTATAGCATTTTATTGATAAATTGTTTATAAAACACACAAATTATTTTGTTTTTCAGCTTCGCGGACAATGGAGTGGGACTATCGTTTGCCAGGTTTGTACTTGAAATGTTTTTTTTAACCCTTTTTTAGTTGCTCTTGATTTGGCACATGCTACTGGATGAACTTTCTAACAACTATTTGTGATTATGTGACAGCTCTTGTGCGTTTTCCCAGTGTTTTGTCTTTCTGATTTGTAATACATGTTTGAACACAGTACTTGTATAATACTTTATGTCCTTACTTTTTTCCACAGCGATGGCAGCTACCCTAAAGATGAAGGCTCCAGCCAGGAGGTGACGCAGTCCTTGTTTGTGGGTGAAAGCCGAAACAGAGGAACCAACGGAGGGCAGAATAAGTACTGGGGAATCGGAGGGGCTGATGGAAAGATGAGGACACTGCCGAGAAACAGGTAAAGGCAAGAAAATAGTGATTAAATTATAAATAAGGGAATGAGAGGGGAAACTACACTCACCGGCCACTTTATTAGGTACACCACGCTAGTAACGGGTTGGACCCCCTTTTGCCTTCAGAACTGCCTCAGTTCTTTGTGGCATAGATTCAACAAGGTGCTGGAAGCATTCCTCAGAGATTTTGGTCCATATTGACATGATGGCATCACACAGTTGCTGCAGATTTGTCGGCTGCACATCCATGATGCGAATCTCCCGTTCCACCACATCCCAAAGATGCTCTATTGGATTGAGATCTAGTGACTGTGGAGGCCATTTGAGTACAGTGAACTCATTGTCATGTTCAAGAAACCAGTCTGAGATGATTCCAGCTTTATGACATGGCGCATTATCCTGCTGAAAGTAGCCATCAGATGTTGGGTACATTGTGGTCATAAAGGGATGGACATGGTCAGCAACAATACTCAGGTAGGCTGTGGCATTGCAACGATGCTCAATAGGTACCAAGGGGCCCAAAGAGTGCCAAGAAAAGATTCCCCACACCATGACACCACCACCASCAGCCTGAACCGTTGATACAAGGCAGGATGGATCCATGCTTTCATGTTGTTGACGCCAAATTCTGACCCTACCATCCGAATGTCGCAGCAGAAATCGAGACTCATCAGATCAGGCATCGTTTTTCCAATCTTCTCTTGTCCAATTTCGATGAMCTTGTGCAAATTGTAGCCTCAGTTTCCTGTTCTTAGCTGAAAGGAGTGGCACCCGGTGTGGTCTTCTGCTGCTGAAGCCCATCTGCCTCAAAGTTCAACGTACTGTGCGTTCAGAGATGCTCTTCTGCCTACCTTGGTTTTAACGGGTGGTTATTTGAGTCACTGTTGCCTTTCTATCAGCTCGAACCAGTCTGCCCATTCTCCTCTGACCTCTGGCATCAACAAGGCATTTCCGCCCACAGGACTGCTGCTCACTGGATGTTTTTTCTTTTTCGGACCATTCTCTGTAAACCCTAGAGATGGTTGTGCGTGAAAATCCCAGTAGATCAGCAGTTTCTGAAATACTCAGACCAGCCCTTCTGGCACCAACAACCATGCCACGTTCAAAGGCACTCAAATCACCTTTCTTCCCCATACTGATGCTCGGTTTGAACTGCTGGAGATTGTCTTGACCATGTCTACATGCCTAAATGCACTGAGTTGCCGCCTTGTGATTGGCTGATTAGAAATTAAGTGTTAACGAGCAGCTGGACTGGTGTACCTAATAAAGTGGCCGGTGAGTGTATAATCGTATTCAGGAAGGCAATCAGATAGTGGGACAGGTTGACTCATGAGGCGGTCTCAGCTGGCTTTAGCTGTTGAACTTTTTGTTTTGACTCACTTCCCTTCCATGGTGTCTTAGACAGTTTATGAAAAACTGTGGTGACAGATTGGCACCATATTAATGTGTTTTTTACATGTTTAAATTTCACATATATTCATGGGTTTTAACAGAAATCCCATCTGTTTAAGTTGGGTTTCACAGTTCCTTGAATTTGTTTTTAATATTTTGTGTCTTCAGAAAAATACTTTTAGACTTTAGACTTATATTATTGAAGAGCATTAGAAGTTGTAACATAAATTGTTACAGTTTTTACAATGTATCATTAATTAAACGATTTATCAGTTGCAATTATTTTACTTATTATTTGTATTTATTGTATTCTACTTCATTTTTATTTTACTCAAATCTGTTATTACTTTCTGTACATTTTGTTGCCTTATTGTGGACTATTTCCTTTCAAATGTTTCCCTCAGGACGTTCCCAATTCGGGGTTTTCAGATTTATGACGGCCCAGTACGGCTTACACAAAGTACTTTTCGAGGGTTCATCCCCACACCAGAGCGTTACACCAGTGCAGTGGGATTCAACCTGAAGAACACGTGGCAGCTGACCCCGAGAAACAACCTGTCCCAGCTCAGCTTTCACCCTTCTGTGAGAAAACCTCTTTTACTCTACCTAAAGCTTTAAAATGTCCGTGACATCAAATTTTTGTAATAAATATGAAAGCATTTTTAACATTAAATTTTCAGGCTACTTGGATGAAATTTGTTAAGGTATTTGCATTTGAAGTAACAGGAAGTGATGTCAAAGTGGATTTGAATGTGAACAGAGCATTTCTACAAAGACTAACAACACAGACAGGAGAGAAGAATCTGCTGTTTCTTTAGAATATTGTTGATCACTATTTGAATTTGATGAAGAAGAGTCAGTTAAATCAGATCATTAAACCTATAAAGACCAGAGAGTTTCTTTTCCCATTTGATGTCACTTCCTGTTTCACTTTGGCTGAGCCAGGTTTAAAAGAAGATATTCAGTCATGTGACAGAATGGGTAAAAAATCATGTGTATTGTGCCAAGTTTCATAAATATAAATATGTCTTGGTTGACATTTTCTATTTGAAGGACATGCATGTCACAGACACATTTCACACATGCATTTTGTTACATGAAGTGATACAATTCACAGCTTAAAGAAATAGTCAGACTTATGCTGCTCAGTTGCTTTTATTCTCATGTTTATTGTTAATTATGAAAAATTTATAAAACTTGGGAGATTAAGAAAAACAGTTTACTTTAATTGATCCCATTTAGTCAAAATGTTTATTTAATAATTTAATTTATAGGTCTTTGTACTTTCTGTTCCTGAAAGTATATGTATTTGTTCATGGGTATGCCTGGTGTCCTGGATGAAAGCAATTCTATTAAAAGCCAAAGGAGTGCTAAAGAACCTGGTCAAATGTAAATCACTGGCGACCTCTTCTGGTGGGACAGTAGTGCACAAGTAAATGGTTTTGTGCGTCTTCAGCTCATTTATTACTTTAATCAGTGAGAGGTAATACATTAAATACAGAGATGGGATTTGAATTTGTTTTTATGGGGACAACAAACTCTGCTTTTCATCAAACAGCATCTACACTGACATCAAAAACACACACAGTGATAAACGTAGCTGTTCAGTAATTAGGTATTTAACTGGTATTAATAACACTTCATGAATTATATCCTCAGGTTGATCTCCGAGCGTTCTTTGGTCGCCCTGGACAGTGGTTTGAAGAGAACGACTTGGACGGCGACAAAAACTCCATCTTTCATGATGTAGACGGCTCAGTAACGGGTTATAGAGACACGTACGTGGGCCGAGCTGATAATTATCTAATCCAACATCCTGGCTGTGTGAAAATGCCCCAGTGGAATGGAGTAACCTGCAGCGGTCAATATTCCCAGGTGCAGTGCATCAGGATAACGTCACCCCCATCCTATCCTCAGCCACTCCCTGATCTTGTTTTACCATGGCATTTTCTTCTATTGTATATAGCGTTCAAATCTTAAAATAAAATAAAAAATAAAGCCTTTTCTTTCTTTCAGGTGTACATCCAGACATGGGCAGCCTCCAGCCTCAGTTTGTCCATCAGCAGAGATGAATACCCCGATTCTCCTCTGGTACTGAGGGGGATTAACAGCCAGGGGGCATCATCTCAGCAGTACCAGCCCGTCCTGATGATGAGCAAGAGCTACACTCTGCACTGGAGCGGGCCTGCACCCAGAGAGCTTGTTCTCTCTCTCATCAATTTCGACAAGTGAGGAAGCAAAACAAAGATTGCAGGATTAATCACAACGTGCATTAAGTTAGATTCTTCAGCTGCTTCGTTTGATCTTTGTCACTTCACAGCGTCTAACAAAGAAAAGTTATGAATTTTACTCTCTTTAATTTGTGCATTATGTCTCTGTGGTCCTTTTACTCAGAGATGCCTGGGTCTTGGTGGGGCTCTGTTACCCATCAGACGCCACATTTCAGATCATGAGTGACATTTACGACAAGCAGAGGAACATATATGATGACATTACGGACTACGGCACAGCAGCGTCTCTCGCTGAGCTGGAGGCGAAAAAGATGGAAAGGAAGTACTTCTTTGACCAACCTGTTGGGTGAGAGCACACAGAAACTGCTCTGTTTTCTGTTGTTGTGTAGAAGCATTATAACATGATTTTTAATGCTCTGTCAGGTCTGTCACGATAACAAATTTGCTGGATGATAAATTGTCTCAGAAATAATTGAAACAAATGATATTGTTTGGAGACCATTTTAAGCTAATATAATGCTTACTGTTATTTGTCTCTTTCTCCTGTGATTCTGCTGACGTTACACCCAGCTTACTGTGGTTCTACCTCCGGGCTCGTCATGGTCGTGACGGTCACAGCTACTGTTCAACAAAAGGCTGCGAAAGAGTGAAAGTCACAGCCACAACGTCGTCTAAACAGACCTGTAACTGCACAGCTAAAGCCTACCCCAAGTACTCCAAAACCCCCTCAGCAGTGCTGTCCATGCCAGCTCTGAGCACCCAGCCCTGCAAAGACTGCGGCGCTCGGCAGGTCTGTAATATAATGTTCAGAATGACCTAACATAAGCCACTTCAAGCACAACTAGTGCTACGTGTCACGTTTTGTTTGTTGTCGTCTTAGTTCGTGTTTTCTAGTGAGCCGTGGACTTCTTACCTTCAAACACAAGTGAAATCTCTCAGCAGCAAAGAGCAACAGAAAGGAGATAACACCTCCTTTATCACCGTGAGCTCATCGCCTCAACACATCCACAAGCGTGATTACAAAATCAGAGCTTTGATTAGGTTTATTTAAACATTCAGCATTTCTTGTTTTCCTGCTAGGTGAATGCGGCGACCATGTCTTTCTCTCAGCCTGGGTTTTTCCTGGTCTCAGTGGATGCCTGTTCTGGAAAAGTAAACAAGAAAACCTCATTTGCTGAGATGAACACTAAGATGGAAAATTTTCTCAAAACTGGAATTCCAAAGCGGTAAATCTCCGGAAATACCGTTTCATTTTGTCAAAGCTGAAAGCTTTTTCACAATGCTGCACTGTAAGTGAATTGTGCTGAATGATGCTTAATGTAACAACCTGTTTGGCTCCAGGTCAGTTGTTCTCATGGCAACTCGAGGTCAGCCTAAAGGCCTGGTTGGTTTAGAATCACATTTGGTCTCCTTTGGTTTGGCTAAAGCTGCTGATCTGAGCAATAAAGGTGGGCTTTCTTTCTGTCTAGTGACTGCATTTTAAAGGTTTTTTTTTTATCACTCACGCACTATTATCTCTGCCTTTCACAACAGAAAGTCTGGCAATGTGGGGCTTCCGAGGAGGTTCTTTACCCCCGTCATGGGTTTCACTGCAAACGGGGCAAGGCGACGAGGTTCTGGGGCTTCAGGAGCGCTACTTGCCCCTGGGTTTGGAGTCTTACGGCTGTTCACCCCCTGCAGCTCCAACACGCAAAGACCTGGAGCTTCTCAGAAAAGCCACAGGGCTACAATAAGCAATGTGAACTGTACAACTTACCTACCCTGAATCATTCTTGCACACAGATACACAAACACACAGCCGCTGATGAATGTGAACTGCTGAACTTTTAATTTATTACCAGTGACAAAGATGTCGAGCGGGGAAGTGGAGTTTTGATATGAATGGAGTAAATATTTGTTTGATTTCGTTTTCTATTTGTGTTGGTATGCCTTGAGGCTATTAAGTTTAGCACTTTCTGTTTAGAGAAACAAAATACTTGTTCATCAGCCAAAAAAATCTTTAGAAGGGGTAAAACAGTCTTGGACAACAGGGAAAAGAGACATTTTAAAAAACAATAAGATCGACTTAGATTTGCCTACGTTAGATCAAAAACAAAGAACACATTTGATTTAAAATGAAAATGCAGAATAGTAGATTATGTTCTCACAAACTTGAAGGAATTAATGAAAATATTTTTTTTTGGCTGGGGAATTAGATCTTTAGGATTTGAACTGAAAATCAAAAAAGCTTTTTCAAATCAAACATAAAAAAAAACATTTGTTAGAATTTAAATTTGTAGCAAAACATCCAAGCCATGTTCACATGAATATTTCATTTAAAAAACAGCCAAACCAATTTGTGCAGTGAACATTTTCTGCTTCTGCTTGAAGAAATAGTAGTTTAGAAAAATTACTACTCTTTACATTTTATTGAATTCTTTTTTTAACTCGTTACCTGTAACAACTAAAAGTTTTACCGGAAAACCTCTTCTGATCATCGTGCAGCTGTACAACTGAAGCACCTTTTTGTAAGGATTCCTAAATGGATCTACTGGATTTTTTTCCCTCTTTCAGTTTTGATCTTCTTACATTGATCTCTGAATACTTTGCCTCATCTTCAGCACAAACAGAGATCTCTTATGTTTCCCTTTTTTTTTCTTTTCTCAAACAGAACTGAATGTTTTTACCTGTTGTCTGCCTCATTGATATTTTTTAATGTGTATTATTTCCAAACCAGTATGCTGAGATTTAATTACTGAAAGCATTTTTTAGGTGTATACCCACACTGTGCAGTAGTGAGCAGCAGATGCCTTCAGATGTTCTACCTGCTGAGACACACAGTACACAGTGTTACTTTAAGAGGATGTATTCATTAATATGTGTTTGGATGCGAGCAGGGCTCCCCCACTGAGCAGTGATAAGTTCCTGTTTATAACTGTGTGAGTGTAAATGACTGACCGTATGAGATGGACGGAGAACTTTTACCTTGTTGCCTTTTAACCACTTTACTGTTGAAATGAATAGAAGAACAAGAGAGAATCCACCACTTGTCTTTTTGTTCAGTTTATTCTTCAAAAATGCACAACCAAAGTTTGTCATATAGTTTGTAAATATGGTTTTGAACTTGTGTCTGTAATGTGGAAACTGCAGTGAAAGTTGTGTATTTGCTGTATTTTGGCTTTTGTTTTCGTCAGATAAATTTAGTTTTTTTTTAAACATGTTGGTGTGAAAGTTTAGCTTTTTATTATAAAATTGTCAAGTAAATAAAAAACCTAACCTTTTTGATAAAATCTTGTTTCATGTTTGCTGTTGAACGTGGTCTCTTTGGAAAGGATTTGGTTTGTTGGCTCTAACATTATAATTA